TTAATATTTGTCAGTTCACCTAGATCACAATCCCAGTTTCCATTAAACTCTCAGTGAGAGAACTTTTCCATTTTGACAATTAAACCCCAGAAATCTGATCACTGATAACTTTTATCAAAAAAGAAAAGGATACTTAATCAACAGCCACAAAGTGGCATACTCTTTCCTAACTTATACCTAATCTTCACTGCCATCATGTGAGAATAATACTTCATAAGTGATGATATCTAAGTTTTTGGATAGCAGGGACAGTGTCCAATTATCTGCATTCGCAGCACTGAGCATAAGGCCTAGGATAGAGAGCCTCCTATATGTTTGAGAATGAATATATGACTAAAGGAAAAGAAAAGAAATCTAGAAAAAACAAACATGCAGCCAAGTGTGGTGGCCCATGCCTTTAATCCCAGCACTCAGGAGGCTGAGGCAGGAGGATCACTGCAAGTTTGAGGCCAGTCTGAGCTATACAATGAGTTCAAGGCCAGCCTGAACTACACAGTGAGACCCTGCATGCACCCAAATTTTTCTTTAGGTCTTTAACTGAAACCACTGCCTAGAACACATTGGAAATAATCCAGTTGAGCTTCTGAAAATTGTCTGTTTATATGTTTGTTTTATCACCACACCCAGTTTACAAGGTTTGTTTAAAAAATAGTGTGTCATCCTTTCAAACTGTACACCACAAGGTATCGTCCACATTGGCTACATGTGCCAAGGGCTGGTCCTGTCTCATTTCTTTTTTCTCCACTCAGCGCCATATCTTGTATAGGTGGGGCATTTAATAAACTGAGCAGTGACAAAGGCCATGACAACACACCTCTGGCAAACATGGAATAAACAGAACACATAAACTGGGCGTGGTGGTGCATGCCTGTAATCCCAGCATTTGCAAGGCTATGGCAGGAGGAGTGCCACAAGTTCAAGGCCAGTCTGGGTTACACACCTAGGCCCTGTTTTAGCGCCTCACCCCAAAAAGCTAGATCACATAATGCCCACAGCCACCGGATTAACTGGTCTAAACTGAATCACAACCCTTTTAAGACTCATTTTCCTCTGTACAATGAGAATAGAATACACTCACAAAATTGTTTTTATTTAATAAACACCTATTCATAAATAAATACTTACTGAGCATTAATCACGTGCCAGGCATTGTGCTGGGGATGTAGCAATGAAGATGACCATGACTCCCTGCCTCATCGAGCCAGTGAGTGGACATTGTGAGACTCACAGGAAACAGGAGTTTACAAACTTCAAAAGACTACACTATCACAAGGTTATCACTTCTGTTTCTCAACTTGGCTACTGGATCACTGTTCCTCCTCCTCTCTTTCATCCTGCCCACTTCCACAATTCCAATAAACCACCAAGTCCCTGGCTCTCCTTTAGATGTCTGTGACATGCCAGTCTTTCGTGCTTCTATTCTAGACCCTTCGTTTCCACCTGAATAATTTCAAGTCTCCCTACAATGGTAACTCTGGCAATCATTTATTGATCTTTTACCATATGGCAGGCACTACCCTAAGAGCTCTGCGTGCATACATAACATTTTTAATCCTGTAAGCCAGATACTATGACCCTGACCAACAGAAGAGAAACTGGGGGAGAGAAACTTGCCCCAGGCACACAGCTGGTACGTAGCAAAACAACAGCTTTAGTCCAGGCCTGTGAGATTTGATCCTTATCCCTTACTGGACTCTTGACTCAGTCCCTTTCTGGTCAGTGCACACACCACTGTTTAGGCTGCTAAACATTGTTTAGGAATGCTTTTTCAAAACCCAAAGGACAGGGCCAGGGATTTAGCTCAGAGGTTCTGCCACCTGCCTCAAAAGCCCAAGGACTTGAGTTCGATCCCTGGTACCAAAAAAAAAAAAAAAAAAAAAAAAA